ACCGCATCCTTTTAAATATTTTGAGACACATTGAACGAAGAGTGACTACTGATTTGGTGTTTTGGAAAAGACCTTGGTGCCAAGCCAGGTTGCTGTAACAATTTCTTTATACTCAATTTGGCGTTATCTAGTTGGTTTGAATGTTTGTTTACGAGTATGTGTATGTTTATTTTCATGACGTTCATTTTTCTCTTTTGTGGTTCTGTACAAATATCATTTGATTAAATAAATACATAAATGTATTGTATGAGCCTTTTAAAAATAAGTATGAGCCTTTTAAAAATAAGTGGACACAATAGAAATTAAAATTCCTGTAGCTTGCACTTTTATGCTCGAATGTGTCCTTAAGAATAATTTAACTGATTTGTATTTTAATCTCCATGTTTTAAATGGTTATTGTTTCTTTATCTTACCTTCCATTTGAAATTTGAAATGATTTTTACGTTTAATTTACTTCATTGAATAAAGATTAATATTGATATTTTAGAGTCTTTTTTCCTTGTATGTATCTGAAGACGTCAATGATATGTTAAGATGAATATCAAATCCGAAAAGTCATAAAAAACAATCATGAAAAAGGACAACGGAAATCGAAATCAATTTATGTCAAATAGTATGGCTGCAAGCATCATGGTGCATGCACTACATGATAGATGATGTATTATCCGCAATGTTCTCTTCTCACGTTCAAACTAACTGCTTTTGTTTTGAATAGGGTTCAAATAATCAACTGTTAGACATAACAAATATTGTTTCTGCTACAAATAATTTATTTTTGTCTTTAAGACAAGATTTAAAGTATGTTATCATCAACTGCATGGATCAATATTAGGCTTATTCAAAATTGTTTTTATTATATTTGCCCTAGGGTTTATGTAGATTTTATGAATTTGAAGTTACGGAAAAACATAAGTGATTGATTTCCTTAGCGTCTGAATGAAATTCGTTTATCACCTTCTATAACATTTAACATTGTCGATGAAATTTACACTAAAAAGATTGCTTCAACATGGTTAGCATTTAGGATATGCTCCAAATAAATGATATTCAAGAAACGGAGATGAACGTTCAATGATCATAGATTTGCCTGTAAATGTAATACATTCTTGCGCGTTTCACTTTGTATTTAGGTGGCTTTATATTTTAAAATTGTCTTTATGTGTTTTCAAGTGATATTTGCTTTTTGATATGGGAGTCGTTTGTCTAATAGCTAAATATTGTCAAACACTACAATCTAAATTAGAAATAGTTATCGAACGACGTTACATTTTGACGTTACAGTTCTACAAAAATGGTTTGTTTAAACTTCCCTCTTTACTTTAAAAAAATCTTCAACTTTGAGGAGTCAAACCTATGCTATCTTTACATATTTTTTTTACTTCGGTAAAAAAAGAACGCATACAAAGTAATGTCGTGCAAAATATAATATACTAGATAGGCTTGTATTTTTTAACATAACACATTTTGAGAATGGATACAAATATGTTATAGACTGACTAAACAAAACTATTTGCAAAATTATTTAGAAAATAAAGAGTCTTGTTTCGACACGTCCGCCCTTTCTTGTTCTACAATGATAAATATCTGTATCAGAGGGCTTTATTTTAGTTTTCAAATTTATGTGAGGAATAATAAATGTAACACTTTTCTTTCACCAACATATGAAACAGGTTAAGCTGGTCAACTCGTGTTTTTGTTGGTGGTGGGTTGTTATGTTTTCTTTTTTATTTTGTTTATATTATATTACTATTGGAAAACGATACACTCATTGTCGTTGTTGTATGTATACATTTCACATAAAGAGTAGTTATTTTTAGATATATTGATCGGTTTAACATATATTTTGTTTCTGATAGTTTAAGTGTAATAAAATGCCGTAATCCTTGTTAGGTGCTATTGTTATAGTAATAACGTGAACATTGCAAGTGTTTAAAATTATGATAGCTACAAGTCATTATGACGAAATGTATATCTAATTTTATATAAAAAAAACCGGTACTTCATTACAATATTGGTTTCTGGCATGCTAGATTTTATGTTTGCTGTATGATTATATGTTATGCATTATTGATAAGAATGTGTATGTTTCGTGCATGACTGCAAGTAATAGTTGGCACACATATTGCGTTCTATAAATAATCTGTATACATTTCATACAATGTATTTGATACAACGTTCCACCGTTTTCTGTGGCAAATGACCTGACTGTGAAGGCTCGCGTTTCAATATCTTAATATATTCTTTTAACATTTAATGTAACATTGTGTTATACTTCAATTCGCTTACATTATTGTACCAGTTTAAAACATGTCATTTACAATCAAATAAATGTTTAAAAACATTCGAGAAAGGAACACACACAGAGAGAATCATAAATGGCAGAAAAATATTAGTTAGGTATACTAATTATAGTAGGACATGACATAAGGCAACCTGTCCGTAAATGTCACACTTTCTGTAATTCGAAACTGCTGGTAAATTACAGTTTTAGCTATTCTTTATTGAACAATATAAATTCATACAAGTATATATAACAGAAAGTTTGATAATTTTTTATATAATGATGTACATGTAGAAAAGGCTACTTTACTACAGTCGATCCTGCACTAACGGTCACCTCTTTTCGGTGGTCACCTGACCTAAACGGTTGTAACCCCCCGGTCGCAACATTATTTTTATATACATCTGTTCAACGGCCACTTGGTTTCCGCGGGGGGAGTGTATATGTTAAAATAATGAAAATAAGAATCCCTAAAGAAAGTCCAACACCGCAAAATTGAAAATGTTGCAGGTTCGGTTTGATTGAGCCGGTTCTTGGACGGTATTGTAAAGTGAAAACTACGTCCACGCCCCTAGCACCGGCTTACGCAGAATTCAACATTTAAACATGAACTGGCATGTGTAAATGTTTAAAATCTGATGATGATGATGATGATGATGATGATGATCAAATTACTGTATTCATAATTGAATTAGATTAAATATACACACAAGCACATAAGGGTAGCATAGTATGTCTTTTTCATAAAGAAATACATATTTGGATAAAAACTAAATCATCCATTCAGTAGCTACTGTTTTAAGCAGCCAAAATAGTTGCATCCCTGACTGGCTGCTTAAGACAGTTTTAACTATATAAGAGACTAAATATTTCATAATTGGATTTTTGTTGCATTATTTTCCCCAAAATGTCATGTAAAAAACTACATGACAGTCAGTAAAATACATATTAAACGAAAAATGATTGGGTTGACATAGAAAAGCTCATTATGGACAAATCAGTTACGATACTTGAAGAGGTTGTAATAAGTAGGAAATAAGTAGAAATAAGTTTTTCTACAGTCATCATTTTGACATCTTGAAAGGCTGTCTTACACTTTATTCCTAAAGATCTGTCCATTAACGTTTTAACGTTCTAATTTTGACGCTACATTGTGAAAAATTGTTACTGATGAGGACAATTACTTTACTGCGGCAGCTTCAGGAGTAATAAAAATGTAATGCTAATTTCACTTGATCCATAAAAAACGACTTGAAGTCAGCCATGATAAATTATTGTATGACCTGTTTAAGTGAATTTTGAATGCATAGATATACATATGTACGCATTGAACCTCTATTACACAAATCATAATATAACAACTAAAGATTTATTTCATATCACTGCGGGCTTCTTGCTGCAAAAGTAATTAACCAGTCAATTCACAAACATTGCACAGACCACAGAATGCCGTGCGATGAGACTAGAACTATAAATAGGCTCGGTTACACGAATGATGCCATTAATGCCAGAACTTTAATATTAACTTATGTTGTCCCGAACGTGAATGATAATTTATGTTGCCCCGAAAATTAATTTTAAATTATATTGTCCCCAACTGTATGACTTTAGGAATTATGACAAGAAACGTTCACGTTATAACCATTCGATAATTTTATATGATGGAATTTTATTTTAGATACTAATAAAACAATAAAATATTGAATGTTATGCTTAAACAACGGATCCATGTAAAATTAACGCAAATGTTATAAAGAATGTAAATTGTACATAAAAGCTTGCACATTTAACATATATATGCATATCATTCCAAAATCAGTGTAATGAATTTACGCTTACTTGCCAATAATCTTACTGAGTAGCCAAAACTTGTTATTCTAAGACAAACCGTTTTAGGATATTGAATACATTGCTTTATGTATTGCTCTAGTTACCTAACAGACCATATGTCGTGAACAATATAGTTTTATGGTGTACATTAGTAGCTCATATAATCTGAAAAGTTCTTTTTATAGAAGGAATATAGTATAATATTCGTCCAAATATATCCTATTCAATTGTAAAGGGACAGGCTTTCAAAGAAATGCCTGAAGTCATTATACAGTTAAATAATAACAATAAATACCTAATAATTTTTAAAGATATGGCTTTTCAAACAAATCAGCAAATACAATTATCTTCATGCAGCTTATTATTACTGATATAATTATCGGATACGACAATGTTCGGTTTTCTATAGCCCTTAATTGCGGAATGTGATTATTGAATACTTCTGTTTATTATATCTTCTTACTGAATACGAAACTTATTTTAGAATTAATTTTAATTGGATATGACGTTCTAATCAATAGTTGCTCGATTATAATGGAGAGGTCGGAAAAAGACTATTGAAACCGTATTGCTGTATGAACTGTTTAAATTGTTAAAAGTATTTGGTGTAAACAAAATATTTCTTGAATTGCGTTATTATTCTAGGCAATGTATATTGATGTCATATTTGATCTTGTTAAAGGTCCAGCTATTTGTAAATTAATTTTAAAAAAAATTAAAGAACTATATCAACCTAGTCATAACATTTTATATTGTATACAATGAAGATTATCCTTGGCATCAAATCGAATTTCGTACATATTTCTATAATGTAAGGCTTTATTCGTGAAATATTATTAAGTCTTAAGTCTTGCATTGCGTTTAAATGTTTATTGTTGTTTCATTTCAGACGTCTTTCCCTTCTATATTTTTAAAGACATTAATCAGCATCTCCACTGTGATATTACTGGGACTTATACTGGCATATCATGCATTAGAAGTTCAGGTAAACCATACTTATTCTATTTATCATTGTAACCATGAAATTTCTGTTTTGTGTGTTAGAATATATACTATTTTCAAATTTGTAAAGCTATGGTATATCATAAAGCACACATTTGTTTGAATATTGAGCTCTATATAAAGATTTATTAATATTTATAAATGTATGATATATGCAGAACGAATCATAATGAGAATTTTAACTTAAAGTAGAGATGCGTGGTTTGGTTTCAGATTGCCTTGACTTTGGTCACATTCTTACTTAATGAAACTTAACATTAAATTTTTATATAATGATTTCTTTCAGAACCATCCCTGTTTTGTTGGCGCTCGCTTTATTAGAAATAATGACAGAAATATTATCGCGTGTATGCTTTATTAGATGAAATTGAATATCTCATTGCTGAATAAATCGTTACCATAGAGACAAGTCCCAAGTTTCTATGGAGGTGAAATATCTTGCATTCTTTGTATTGCCTGTAGATACAGTTAATTCAAGTATCGTATATTATTTCGATAAGTTAGCACGTTTTCATAGCGGTGGCCTTAATTACGTAAAATATTTCCTTGAGAGACAAAATAACAGTTGACACAATTTATTATAACTCATAAATGTATTATGCTTATTCATATATTTCTTACGTAAACTTTTATCACAATCCATCATCAGATATTATAATCGATTTTTTTTTTCAATTAAATTAAGTTTTCTCTTTGATTTCACAAATATCTTTTCGAAAATCTATACAGAAATTGCTAACATTTCTTAATGCTTAAATAAGCTAATGTTAAGTCTAAGGTTGTGATAAATGCACGAGCACTGTAATGACGTTTGTAAAAAACGAAATCAGATTATAATGACAATTAATTATCTTAAGAAACAATGTATCTTTATAAATTCAAAACCGACAGAATATTTGTAAAACCTATAAATATATAAAATATATAACAGTTTTGTTATATCACATAAATAATTCAGATACTGTAGAAAACATTTATAATAAATGTAATAACACCAATTGGCTTATAATTTAATGTAATTTCTTAAATGCATTTACAATTTAACAACATTTCCCTATAGACGTAAAAATGATATACATTTGTTGTTGCTTGGAAGATAGTGTTTTCAGTGTCAGCCAACATACCAAATGTTCCTTTATTAAGTGCTCCTCAACTTTTTTTGTTAAGATTTACTATGCCCACATTAGGTAAAAAGCACCTTTATTGAAATCCCAGAAATTCTAAGAGACTGCATAGCTGTTTTTATTATTTTCAAATATCAAATTTTAGCTTAATATTCTCATTCATGTGGTATTTATAAGTGTTCAAATTTGTTTCCTTTTTAGTTGTTCGCTGTAGATAATTGTGTAGAGGATTGGCGTGTTGCCATATCGCCTAAAAGAATTGCTCAATTAAGTGTAGAGCTAGTTGTGTGTGCGATCCATCCTGTTCCAGGGGACTTTCGTTTTACCTGGAAGACAATGCATCATGATGGAATCATCAAGTTGTCCGAAGAAGTCAGCATTGATGTTCTCCTCTCCTTACCTATGTTTCTCAGGCTGTACCTCATTGCAAGAGTAATGCTCTTGCATAGTAAACTTTTCACCGATGCCAGTAGTCGAAGCATCGGTGCGTTAAATAGGATAAATTTTGACACACGTTTTGTAATGAAGACATTGATGACAATTTGTCCCGGCACGGTGCTTCTAGTTAATATTCTTTCTTTGTGGATTATAGCAAGCTGGTTTTTGCGGGCTTGTGAGAGGTATGTATTTAAATATTGCAACATAAGCATTTTTTTTAAATTCTATTTACCAGTTGTTAAGTCTCGTAATACTATTGACATATTTAGGGTGTTACTTGTGTCATTGATGTTCAAGTCATATATCCGTCATAAAAGTATTCATAGAATAAATATTAATCAGATAGTTTCTGCAGTAATTGAATTCCGTTTAAATGAATACAAGTTTGTAAGCGGCTATAAAGACAGCTTTAGGTTTATTACTCGTACATGAGCCACCAGACGACAACTGGCAAAGAACCGTCTACAAACGGTCATATAACTTTTTATAACAGAAAACCTGCATCCTTTGATAACAAATGAAAATAGTTCATACATTTGCTTTACCACTTTACCATTGTCCGATGACAATCTACTTTACGAACGTGAAGTTTTCTAAATATTTAAGATTTCTTTTTGTTTGCTTATTGGTGTATTTTCGTCTTATCAAGTAACCACATGAACTTAAGTATTCCATTTTATGATGTTTGAGTAGGTTTTTGTATATTACTAAACAAATAAGCTGTCGAAATATACATTATATTAACATACAATTTGTTAGGGCAAGTAATGTACAGGTAACATAAATGAAGCTGTTCTTAAGATGGGTGTATATTGAGTTATCGAACTATCATCTCGTTGTAAATATTTGCTTGAATGACCATTAGGCAAATTGTACGCCTGTAACACATTAATTAAATATAATTATATATTTCCTGTATACGAGAGGTTTTCATCTGAAGAAAGGATATTTGCTCAATATGCCGCTAATTATATAAATATTGACATATTAAAAATTCAATGAAATTAACTGTCTTTCAAGGAAATAAAATATTTGCTTTGAGCTTAAATACATAATGAATTGTAAATATATGTTCTTTTTAAATTAAGTTGAGCTTACAATGTCACGAGGTCAAAGAAGAAAACAATGTATTATTATATAAAATAGAGAAAATAAGAATCCCTAAAGAAAGCCCAACACAGCAAAATTGAAAATGTTGCAGGCTCGGTTTGATTGAGCCTGTTCATGGACGGTACTGTCAAGTGCAAACTACCGTCCACACCCCCTAGCACCGGCTTAAGCAGAATTCAACATGAACTGGTACAAGTTTGAATTTTGAAACATCCGCAGATGTGTTCATATGGCGGTTATCATGGAACATTCAATGTGACACGTAAGTGCTATTCCATGAAAAGCGGCATATGGTCCCCAAGTAAAAAAATGCGCTTGCCCTAAACGAGAAAACAATGGGCGGAACTAAATAAAATGGAATTTTGAAAGGGGATCAGAGGTTATGAAGCCTGCATATCACAGATAAGACGTCAAAAGACAAATTTAAAAAGCAGGTCACATACTCTAAGAGTGATTCAACAGTATTCAAGTGAGGAATACTGGAACCACCCAACAAGAAAATAGCCGAATAGAAATAACTATATTACCACAAGCACAATAATAATGTCGTGCTGAACGATCTTTAAGGATCGGAAATATAACATCTCTGATTGAATGTACGGGACCACACTTTACATTATGCCCACTTTAGTAAGGATTATTTCAATAAAGGACAAATTCAGACTTATGTTACTTGCATTGAATCAAAATCAATAAGTAAAGGGTATATCAGAATTTTGTTGTATTGATAAATATGATGGTCTTAATTTTATGCGGCTTGAAATATTATTAAAATTACATAACCATTTCTTAAAAATTATAAAACATTATAATAGTTTCTCTCTTGCTTGCATTTCAGTCCTCTTGATCCAAATCAACATGCTAACATTTTAAACTCAATGTGGATGATTGCCATTACTTTCCTGTCAATCGGGTATGGTGATGTTGTTCCAAACACATATTGTGGACGAATGGTGGCCATTTCCACAGGTGTTATGGTAATGAAATTCGTACTGACATTGTCATAGTTATAAAGTAATATAATCTGTGTGTTTTGGTGATGACGTGTATAAAAATATCATCTTACTCTGATTCGTTTTATGTAAACAAATATTTCAACATATGTTTGTTGTGGTCAACGTGGTAAACTACACTAAGTGAAATTATATATATGTACATAATTATGCAAATGAAACAATTTTCAAACATCGAAGAGTATGTGAAATATGTACTGCAAATATGTGTGCATATTATATGTAATCATTAAAATATAGGCATTCTTTTCTTATTGTAAAATTTGACATAAACTTTATAGAAAATAAATATTTTATTTGCTCCCTTTATTGACATGAAATGTTAAATTTGGTAATATCTTTATAAATAATGCTTTTCGAACCTATAAAATTGATAAATCTCAATTTGAGCATCATATTTATGATTTCAAACAATAAAAAATTGTGTTACAGGATCTTTAAGTTATCAAATATTTCAACATATGTTTAAGTTATCAAATAAATCAACATATGTTTACAGGGTGCTGGATGTACCGCATTAGTCGTTGCTGTGATAGCCCGAAAACTAGAACTTAGCAAAGCAGAAAAACATGTACATAATTTTATGCAGGATACACAATTGTCAAAAAAGGTAGGCGATGGGTTAAGTTGAATTATCTGAAAACAGCTTTCAGGTAATATTGCTAGTTAGCGATGGATACGTCTTTTAAAAGAACTGAATAATACTAATATCGTTATTTCATCTCTATACAGGTAAACTTGTAGATAAAAATCATTTTGAACATGGTGTTAAGAGCAATTGACAGAAAGGACAAACGCAGTACCATTACTATATAAGCTATATCGAAATATGAAGAATAAATAAACACACTTGCCTCGAATTTAATATAATGTTGTTTTTTTTAAATATTGTATAACTCAATGCAATGGCAAGCTTTTAGTACATTGAAAATGTTGTTTTTTTTTCTCAACGGCTATTTATGTTTGTTACATATTTGATTAGACATAAACTCATTATTACTTATAATATATGTTCCTATATTATAATGTAACGACAATAATATAAGAAAACTTTGCATTTATTCTTTGTTTCTAGTTAAAGAACGCCGCAGCCAATGTTTTAAGGGAGACGTGGCTTATATATAAGTACACAAAACTTGTAAAAAAGATGAACGCAGGGAAAGTTCGGTCGCACCAAAGAAAGTTCTTACAATCAATCCATTGGTAAGTATAATCTTATATCTAATTAACTTCATGATTGAGGTTTATTTGATCAAGTTATGAAATTTTTCAAATCATATGTAAAAGATTTTAACTATATATATAGCTAATAAATGCTTTATTTTAGAACGATGTTATTTTTATTCATTTTGTTCATTTATGATATGTCCTTTTGTAAAAGAGGGAAAGTATTAATAAAGTAATATATAATCATATATTTAACAGTTTACGGAGAATAAAAATGGATCAACGTAAACTTACGGAAAATCAAAGTACATTGGTTGATATGGCAAAGGTAAGAACTTCATTTATCTCGTTGTTGATAAAAAGCTCAAGATATACTTTAACATAATATTTCACTTGCACAACTCTTGCTGAATGTGGCTTGATTCTTTCATCTGATGTAATTTTGTTAAAACTAAGCGAAACACAAAGGGCTATGTTTTTTCTACTGAAAACTACTTTTGGGCTACTCAAAATTGTAGTGACCAATATATATAAAACAAATATATAAAACCATGACTCAATGAGTACGTAACATATAACAATATTTGCAAGCAATTTAATAAAAAAGCAGTATTAAAGGGTCTTATGTATATTATTAAAGTTGAAATAATGTAAAATATCAAATAAAATAACTGTTAACGACAGTTACCGTAAGGATACGGTGCTGCAGCATTGAAAATTATACAGAAAAGGGACAAGGAATACACTGAAATAAAGAACACATTCTTTTTCTTTTTCGATTAAATTATCAGAAGCTAGCTATTGTAATATTATGCTGCTATTTTTCTACCTTCTGATGTTAAAATTATTGTTTTTTAAAGAACATTTTGTGGTTTTGAATTATTGTTTTTTAAAGAACTTTTTGTGGTTTTGATGTTCTAATTTTAGACTCTAGAGTATTGATTTTAATGAATGGAATACACGATTTCCTATATACACTTCCTGCTTTCATCACTTCTGCATATCCTTGTAATAGTCCATTGTTGCGCACACTTTAATAGAAAGGGATGTTGATAATGTATACATGACTGAAGGTAAATGATTTGTCTGATGACAAAACATACACTAAAACTGAACACTATTGAGTCATATATTTGTTGATATTAAGTGATAATTCTGCTAAACTAAAAAGTATGATTTAACTTGTAGTAGTGTATGGAAGCTCAATTTGGTCCCTTAACACGTTCCATCTTTATCGTACAACCACATTGAAAATATCTTTTTTATATTCTAAATAAACATTTCTCTCTATCTTATTTTTAACACAGGTCAATAAGCTTGACAGCAGTTTATATGAAATAAATTACATTTACTTTTGATACCTCTTTGATAAAAATGTATTCTTTCGATTTTTGTAGACTTGCCAAATCTAGATCTAATCACGTTATCCTTTTCCTTTCCCTGTATTTTTATTTCAACCTCCGATTTAGTTTGTGTGTTCTATGCTTCAATCAGATATTCTTCTAAAGAATGTTTTGAGTTTTACAATGTCACAAGTAGAATTTTAACTGTATATTTTATTTGACTTTGCGATCATGGTAAGTGTTAAAAAACAAATCAACTGTTTCTTTGACATCTACATAACTACGAATAGCATTAGTCATCGCATTAAATTAAGTACGAAATTTAAAAAAGAACAACTGTGTAGATAAGTTTGAAGTATACAACCGTTTGAAACTACAATATAATAAACTCCAGTGCAAATTGAAAATGGAAAATTTTTGATGAAAAAATGTTTTGATGCTACTGAAAACGTTTTTTCAGCAGTTTCTTTCTTTTTCGATCGAATACTATAGATAGATGTGCTATTTAGAAATTGAATATTGTACATTATGCAAGGTTGAAACAGTTGCTTGCACTTGAAAGTTAAGGAAAAGGATAATGGTGACTTTGGTTTCTTTAAATAGACGTTTAACCCTTTCAACCCCTTATATTATTTTCATTTTTTATTATTTATTCATTATGGGAATGAAAGGGTTAAGTCCTAGAAATATATATTGATCTCCCATTGACTGTTTTAGTTTTAAGTTAATAATTTTAAGTAAATAATATGAAGTTGTTATTTTTATTACCAAAAACAACATGTTTGTGTGTAGGATATGCTGATTTCTTTTTTATATTAAAAGACAAACTAATTTCATATTTCACCATATATCCTTTACTCCTTTCTTTTAGAGTGTAGGTGTAACTGGACTACACAGCGCCAATAGCGTGTATATTTCAAAACCTTTGCCCGAGTACAATCAGGTTTGCCTCTCTGCATATCAGTCATAGATAGTAGAAACCCATTCTGCGATTTAAATCTGCATTCTTTCTATCTTTAATCAAAAGACATTGACAATAATAATATTGATACATTTGACATTATTATTGATAATGAAGCTTATATTTCATTTCATACTGATTAAATTGCAGTATTTCAATTCTAATATGTGAATACATTTTAAATGGTCATTTGATTAGATGATTTTGGAACTGAAAGCAGATTGTCGCTTGCATTCATGATTTTGATAGTGTTTAAGTACTAATAATCTACTTTTATAAATCTTTTGTTTCGGGCTTGTTGTAGCGGACAGTTTTCAGTTCCCCTCTTTTGACCAACTCGCTTGATATATATAACGGCTTTTGTATAATAAAATAGTACTTATTGCTCATAAAACAAAGACTTTTCACCATCGACAAATATAAGCGTTTCTCTCTTTACTCTTTTAAATAAACACATATCTGTATATTTAATATATTATTCACGGTTTAAAAAGTGTTGTGTCTTTTAAATATCCTTAAAATAAAGGAGTGCCTTATTGAGCGAAAAGTACTATTTGTCACTGCAATAAACATTTAGATGATATTTTCTTTTGAGATTTAGGAAAGAGGTTCTTATTTATTTGAGAGATATTCTGCTAGTGTTATAGACGAACGGATATAAAACGCATTTATGTTTATGATTTATTCTGCAAGTTATATGGATTGTAGATACCTCATTTTTAGCATTTAGATTTTTTTTTACATTTTTATTTTTGCCAAAACGAATTGGAATATAGATATTTACATAACTGTATAACATGAGAAGGGAATAGTAGATAAAAGCAAAACAAAAGATATTCAATAAATTACTTACTTCTAGCTCATTTCACAGTCGTGAAATGTTTGTAGCACAGCTTTATTATATTTTCTTATTGTATTCTAGACCAATGCATGCCTTTTATATATATTATGCAACACCTGATTATCCTTCTGACCGTTCTTAAACTGATTGGACTATAGCTTTTTCCAGTTTAATCCAAGTAACTCTCGCTATGAGACCTAACACAATATTGTTTTCTTTTTCAAGACAACTATTCCCTGCTTTCCCATTTTCTTTTCAAATACTTTGTGTAAATAGACTTCTCATAAACAAGTTTTATGTAAACTTCAAATTTCACTTCATTGTTATGACAATTATTGGAAGTGCCTTCAAATTTAAAAAAAAAATGTGTTACTTATTTTTAATTTTTAAATAAAGAGAATGGCTCAATTTATATTTATAAAAATATATTAGTTTGAACAAGATTTTTACTGTCATATTTATTTTAATTGCTGATATATAACTGCAAACTATTCAATTATTTGTCATTATATGGTTACTGTTTTAATGTGTATTTTGTAAATTTCTTTATTATTGTTCATGTGTTTTTTTCTCCACTCTTTATACTAGTAGTTTTGTAGTCTTTTTATTCACAATGAAATGTGTGTCTATGTTCATAAAATATAACGATATAGAAGCTGATAAACGTCTTACCTTTTAAATTAAAACAATTTCAGACACAGAGCCATATTGAAACCATGGTAACAGAAATGTCAAGCAACAGCAGTGCTTTAGAGAAACGTGTGAATAAGATTGAGGATAAGCTTCATGCTTTACAGGTGATGATTAAACCGTATACATGTATATTATATTTTTTGTTATAACCTGTTATGCTAAATTGAAATGAATGTTTTATTTATGACTTTGATTTGCTTACATAATTTAATAGTAATTTTCTTTCTGTCTCTCAACCAATAATCATGGGTTGAAACACTATCCAGGTCAGGATCATATCTCAAAATGCCGAATGTACATGAAATGAAGCTTATAATAGATTTTTAATGTTAGTAGGAGAAGGACATATTGTTTGATATACATGTATATACATTGATATACATGTACTTGAATACTACGCAATTTCATTTTTCTTTCTGATCAAATAAAACAAAATATTCATCATTGGGCAAAAAATGGTGTAGGTGTTGTTAATTTTAATTATTGTCCAATGTAAATTCTGCCTTCAAAAAGACGAAGAATTTTAGTAACAAATATCATCAAACATTGAAAAGTTAATGGTATTATCTTACAATTAAAGGCCATATCATGTGCCATTGGTCGTTACTTTTTTATGTATGATTTAATAAGTTTGTTTTCCTTTTGCATTCCTTCTAGTTCTAATTGTACAAGCAAATCAAGAGCAATAAAATATGTATGTTTTTCTTATATACCCAATGCTAATTGTGATAGAAGTAATTTTAACATAGACGAAAAACCAAGATAAAAAGTCTAACTATTTTTTTCTTTTGTACCAGGTGCAAATGGACATGTTGCCAAACATGATAGTTGAGAGGTTACTTGCCAGACGAAGCGATCCCCTAGCTGAAAGAACTGGGGAAGCAAGACCAATTCCCGAGTTCCGACAGTATAGCCGGTTATCACCACCAAGGCGGCGGCGAAACCTTGTTACACAAAACTCTGTCCCAACACCTTCAACATTGTCGCCATTTACATCAGTAAGTGGCACTCACCTGCCTGAAACAAGTGTGTCCTTGCCGGCAAGTCCTTCAGACACACAGACAGGGGACGTGAATCACTCTTAATTCAAAGTGCATTAAGCAGATATTGTACGTCTGCTCAATACAAACTGCGTGATATATATTTATCAGACAGTGTAAAGTCAAAACGAATGTTATTTCTTCAATGAAGCTGTGTATCCTAGCGAGTGTACGATTGAACGTAAACAGTGTTTAGATTTAACAATATCGAATCTAAATTGACAGAGAGCCATTCCACATTTTCATGAAACAAATATTGGCTTGTGAAGGCATGTTTACAGAGCTAAAGCAGACAGTTTGCTTACTTTTTATATCAAGATAATTCTGGAGAGAAAATGGGTGTATATATGATTAATCATTCCTAAGTCATAAAGCATTTGACTCGTCATAGATTTGACAGTTTTACTGTTGTAGTTTACGTTGGCCTCCCGAATACTATATGTCAAGTCAAATAGAGGTTCAATATTATTGTATTGATACGTTGCAAAACATTTATGTTGTAAATTAAAAAGCAAGTGTAATATCTTGATGGTAGAACCTTGGTGAAAGTTAAATTGGAACCTGATTTGTTAAATGTCAACGATTTTTGCGACTGCAGAGGTACTTCACAAAATCTAGAATTGTATCAAATGAAGAAATATTTACTTATATGCAACATTCCACAATAGATCAGATCGTACAATACAAAATTATTGTTTTATAATTACTGCATGTACAAAATCTATAAATGTAAGTAATTATAACGAAATATTCGTCTTGGTGAGTATGTATATTAACAGAAAAAAATGACTGAATAATTCAAATCTATAATCTCATCTTCTTGCTTCTGTGAGATGGCATATGAATCAATATTATAACAAATGTGCTCAATACGCCCTCTCTTTAATATATTCTATTTGGATATGTTTGTATCCATCTAATTACACACAAAATTAATGTTACACTATATAAGGACGACATGCTAAAAATTTATTAAAGTTGGTGCATGGATCTTTTTTATTAACATTATGAGGAAATCGTTAATAAGAATGGGTTACCCATTTTTGTTTTAATTAGCATTGAAAAATCATACTCTACTTATTATCATAGTAAAATATGGCAAATGTTATATTTACAATTTGTCTGTATGATAAAAAAGTAAAACGTTTAAACAATAGACATTTGTCCGTTGATGTTCAATTCTTAATCTGTGAATAATTTCATAGAGTAATTTATGTCAAAAATTTAATTCCTGTGGATGCAAAGACATTTATTGGTGCTAAAATATTTTCAGCGTCCTTTATTCTTCGGTATTTTAATTTCACCAAACAGCTATGTACCTATTATATGGCATATTCCTCTTGACATCTTCTTGGTGTCAATTTAAATGGAATAGAAGTTTTGGAAAGACGATTAACATTTGAAAATAAGAAGTAAAACTTAAAGACACTTAATATCACCTGTCAATTCATTGTTTTTCATTCAAGTTCGATTAAGTGATCGGTTTGTCTCATTTTAGGAGACAATTATAAGAAAGCATATAGAAGATTTAAAACAGGAATGCTCAAAAGGTTTTAAACGAGCTCTTAAAGTGGATTGGTCTACAATGGGCACTTTTACAAAAAATTATTGATAAAACATTAATAAAGACAATGGTAATATATCATTTGGACTCAAACAAATATTTTGGTTTGAATTAATGAATGTTTACCTAGTTCTAAGTGATTAAATAAAGAATATTTATATGACAATAAATAATATTTAATATCAAATTATGTATCCCACAATATCCTAACAATATCCGCATATAATAACTTGTAGTTTGTGGTCAGATACTTAATACCATCAACATGATTATATACGTTATTGCTTACTTCCCATGATGGACCAATTCATTTTAAATAGTTCATTACATTTATACTTCTAAAATAATTTGTTTGAAATAAATATTTGATGCTTGTGCTAAAGCACGAGGGAATTCATTTTAATTGCAAGCACTTTGATATCTGTCTTTTCCTGCTATATTTAGCAACTAAATGGTAGGGAAGTCTGAGATTATTTTAAAATTCCATATTGCATTCCAACGATCAATTATTTAATAACATAGGATTTATTTGCTTCAATAGCTGAGTGTAATAACTTCGAATTCAACCAAAATATGGGTTGCCTTACTAAATAAGACATTTATGATCCTTTTGTTATCAAAATGATTCATAATTTCAATATGTTCAAACTATTATTGTTATCATTTTTATGATGATAATCGTTTTTATTTCTATTGAGGAGAGTTTTTATCTTAAATATGTGATATTTTCCAAAACAAATCCCAAGAATTGTATATATGTATATAGTTGCACTTGTTAATGCAAATAGCGATATGTTATCCTTTTTCATCGCATTATTGTAAATCCATATTTATAAATCGTCAAGACAGTGAAAGGTTGTTTACTATTTGTACTTGTTCATTTGTTTTTATGTTGATAAATTATATGATGTTGAACATTACCAATTTTATTTGTCGGGTTTTTATTGTTAAGTTAGTAAGTTGTAAAATGTATATATAAAAGAGACGTTTTAGAAAGACAAACTTTCCCGTTTTTATATGTACTACATTTCAGTGTGAACATTTACTGTTACACTTCTATTATGCTTTACTTTTTAACAAAACCAGAGTATATATTTCACCTCCTTAGCACAGTGCAAAAAAATTTAAATAATCATTTGATATCCTTTTAACTCGACGTAAATGATAAGTTTTGTAAATATGCATTTTGTTTATTACATCTAACTATGTGAAGGGTCGTTTTGCGTTTGACATGAAATAAATTTGCAGTTATTCAATTTCTTGGTATGAGAAATATAAGATATAGAAAAACAATGTGAAACGTCTGTATATTTCTGTATGTTGTTACATTCATATAATGCAATTTATTAACTGTTGTCTTTGAAATATTATAAATAGACAAAGTTTGATGTTTTTAACATAAAAACAAAAGCAAATATAATTATATAGCCGCTGATGAACTTGTTTTATTTTTTTCAGAAATGTGTACAGTACTACAATGTTTTCACTTAAGTTTTTATTTTAAAATTTAAAGCTCAAATTTATTTTACTAGTTATTCGCACATACACACACAATATAACAATTTTTTATCACTGCTTACAGGTGATTATTGAAATCTTTATACCTTACAGAGAAAGACATCTCACGTACTCCTAAATGTACTTGTCTTGACATCAAAAATGTTATTGTATGTTACTGTTTTATGATGAAAAATAAATCTTAGTCTAAAATGTTTCTTCGCTTGTCTTTTCTATCCTATTTTGTAATTGGGCATGATAAGAATACGTTGTTGACTTTATGGATTGCCTTTGACGATAGATGCATATTATATGATGAAAAATGATGTTTGAACCTTCTTATGATATATTATTGTAGTATATAAAATAATATTAAACTGAATGTTAAGTCCCCTCAAATCGTCCCCGACGGATATCATCACAACCATTATCTTTACATACATATATAGAATTAACAACAGAACAATTTATTTATGAAATAATGTTTAATGTGTTGCAAGCGACTTTGTTATAGCTGACTGTACATGAAATAACCCAACAGATATATGTACAAATAAACCCTCATTTGCAAAAAAACATACATTAATTAATATCGCTTCATAAATAACAAACTTCAGTCAAAGTAAAAAACAATTTGCTAGAAAAGATGGAACACGTACATCTAATATCTGATTCCTTAGCAAATCTTAAAATAAAAATCTTAATTCGGACATGTTGACAGTCGGTTAACCAAGCGCTGAATGAATTTGCAACGCTATTCCGAAAATCACGTGCTGATTTAGGCAGGAACAATACTAGGGAAGATAATTTTCTTCTAAATAAATGTACTTTGTTTAAACAAAGCAAATGTCATAATATATTCAAGTCAGCAATAATAGTTTCTGTTTAAACACATAATTTAAGGGTTACTATATCAAACCGTCATCATTATTTGAAAACATAGCCGTGTAAATTCAAATATTGATGCGTTTGTATGAATATGTGTTTTCAATATTTGTTATATCTTTTTAAGATTGCGTATGTGTAAATGACAAATCATTGATAAAGATAATGATATCTTGTTAAATGCTGTCAACAGATGTAGTTGACATGCTGATTTATAACATAATATGATATTTACATTTTTTGTAAACTTAAATAAAAACGTATGTAGGGAAATTATCCAACGGTTTCAATAATTGGTAGTTAAGAATTCCAACTTAATATTTATAAATATACTGCATGAAACCATTTAAAACATTTGGTACATTTGAATATTTCATTGAACAATTACCATTAAAACCTGCATTTTTGATGATTTCAAAGCGTTTATTAATATGTACTGAAATGCCGTATTTTGAACTTAATTTTATGACAGTACCTAATTCAATGTAAGATCTTTAAATTGTCTGTGTGAAAAGATACTATTTCTAAAGCTTACTCATCTAAACGGTTAATAACGAAATGATTTAAATGCTCCCCGTGCGTCTTCTTAATATTATTGTCTTACAAGTGCACGTCGATATCAAAAAATATATATTGTAAGGGTAAGATATTCAAAAATGTAGATTCTGACGGAAGTAATATTAATGAACAATACTTATTTAATGTCATTGTTTTACGCATCGGATCAAATTTCAAATTTAAACACACCACTGAGGTCATCCTAAGTATCAGTCAGTCTATATCTACTTCGTTGTCTTAAACAATCACCTGGAGAAAGAAGTCTAAATTAAGTGGTGTATGCTATTTGCTCAACTTGATGAAAGGTAAATTTTCTACACAGAAAGTAATTTTTTTGCATTATCTGAAACTGTTCAGTTGTCTTGACCGCCACGAAGAATAGCGGCTTTGTGAACTCTACTAAACTAATAAAACAATAATTTTAAGGCCCGCATGCACTTGTGTTAAGAAGGAGAACATGTATGTAAGGAAGTACCATATAATGTAGTTAATTATATGTTGTTAATAAATATTTTTAGGTATGTTGACCTCATTACCTTATAAATAATGATGTTAGCCCAGATGTCCCCTACCCGAGTCAGGCTTAATAATACTTACAAAATTTAAGATTTCTTTTCCTTCATTTTGGTTAAAGTTCTTCAAATAGGTACTACTCTTAAAACCATTAAAATCTGTTCGTATAAAAGACTCTTTTGGAACCTCATTCAATATGCTCATATTTTAGCAAACATAGTATTTTTATGCAAAAGCATTCCGGATATTTGCGACAACATACAAAGCAATTGTATGTTTGAAATTGGTGTCGTGTCAAGGACTTAATGTCATTCTGGAGAATTAATGTCATTTCATTACATATCACTGTTAAATCATGCAAACTTTGTCTTATTATATTTTAGCGCAGAAGTAAAAAGATAAATATTTATCAACTGCTAATGACAAATGTGTAAGAAAAAAAAGGGAAAAGCTATTATAAGCAGAATTATTATCGGGCTTTTGACTGAAAAGCAATGTTAGTGATCAACCTATAACAATGCTTTTGAATCAATCAATTTAAGATAAATAACAAGTTATCTAGATGATATAACCTGCCCTTACAAAGAAAAACAAAACATACATAAATTAAATGCAGTTTATTATCTTTACAAGTAAAAGATAAAAAAGTCGTCTAAAGTTCAAACAGCTGATAGCAAATAAGAGTTAGATCATTCCGTTTCTTTCTTTGGAACCGCTAGGACATTTTTAAATTGAATAACATATTTTGTGTGAGTGAATTAGATCTTCGGAAGATAACTATTGATTAAAACTATTAAATCTTTAGACCGTTTGATACAAAATTGTTCGTAGACATATATATAGTCATTAAAAAAACTTTTTATAATCAAGAGGTAGTAGTAGCAAGAATTCAAGATAGAAAAGTAGCTGTAGCAGTAACAGTAACTTTAACAGTAGTTGTAACAGTAACAGTAGTTGTAGCAGTAACCGTAACTCGAGATGTAGCGGTAACAGTAGCAGTAACAGTACCAGTAGTTGTAGCAATACCTGTAGCTGTAGCATGAACAATATAAGTGTAGTAGACGAAGCAGTAAGTGTAGATGTTGCAATAGCAGCAGCTATATCAGAAGCTGTAGTTGAAGCAGTAACTGTAGTAGTAGTGGCAGTGGTGGTGGTAGTGGTGGTAGTGGTGGTAGTGGTAGCGGTTAATTTGTTAATATACTCATTTTGTACTGCGAAATTTTAATGCTTTATCCCATTCTATAGAACAAGCCTACATAGAAAATAAGAAGTTGACTGGTATTTGACAGACGTAGGAAAGATTATCAAACCATGCAATATCGGTGAATCGATATCTCATTTGTCAGTGGGTGCCGTCTGCAATCTGCTCAGTCAGCCATATTACTGATAAATGTGTACAAAAAGAAACTGTTTTATTGTCTTTTTATCTACAAAGGCAATTTGTTTGATCTTTTACTTTGTGAGATGCTGATATCGGATACGTCTTGTAAAGTCAATGCTCTTTGCTGTCATGTAATTTATCACATGTTTAACTCCTGTTCTTCAGTTATGTTTTAACAAAATTTTACGTAAATTGATTAGTAGGTCGGCAATTATATTACGTAAGATATGAATCAAGTTTCAAAATGAATATTACGCAATGCACATACAAACCTGATCAATGATGCTTATGAGTTAGTAAAGACAGGTGAATACTATTTGTATATACAATAAAAGCTCGGTTGTTATTTGATAGAAGCTTAGGTTAGGATACTATTTTCGAAACGGTATGTTAGTTACTGTAGTGTAGACTGTGAATTAAAATTTCATGCATAGCGGTTTGTTTATGATCTATTTTATTCTTTGTTTGCAGTATTTATGATAAGTTTATATGTGATTTGCTCTTTACTAGAAGATATTCCATGCGATTATTCAACTCTTCGGAGGATAACTTTGGATAGAACATTGTGTTTATCCGTTTGTTAACATTATATTGTGTATAATTACATGAAAGTATATTAATGATATAGACAACTTTGTTGGTCATTTAGAGCTATTTTAAGCATAAGGCATATCATTCATTAAATTACTTGACGTTCCGATACTTTTTTATTTCTCTAACGATGTTTCAGACGTTGTTGCATATAGAGAATAGATTTCGAAGAGAAATAGATATGAATAATATAAATTTTTTACTTTGGAAACTGTATTTTATAATCATTTCCCTTTTTTGTCTTCTTTCCTGATAATTGATACGTCAATTTAATAGCTAGTTTAATATGTAAACCTTTCCTTGGTTCGAATGCCAGTCAAATCAAGTGATAATTGTTAAAAGTGTCCTTTTACTGATGTGAACATTTCTTTAGTAATAAGTCAAGTTATGCAAAGAGAGAATATTGTTTTTGTGTAAAAAACAGAATGTATCAAATCCAACCTATCATAACCAATGATATTATGCTTATGTAACTTAATTATAACTTTAAAGATGATTTTGATTTTAGGCTTATAGGCTTTATTGCGGACACGGACTTTAGATGTTAAAACGGATAAACAATCATGGCTCTTTTAAAAGGGGCGTGAATTTAAGATACAAAAGTTAAATGACTGAATCATTTGTTCCTTAAAGGCTGTATTATAAATTGTATTAATGGTCTGAAATTTCTAACATTCTATATTGATTTCATTGTTTACTAAATTATGTTATGGCTTAACTATCTTCATTTTATGATTTGTTGATAGAAGATAATCTTATGGCATCTTTTAACGTTTTGAATCGACTGTGTAATACTCGTAAAATGTGGAATTTTTTGTCACTTTTGTAAAACTTTTCTTTGACTGTTGTGTTTGTTATATTTTGTTGTTTGTCTGTTTTCTTCTTTTTCTCTTTTTCTTTTGATTGTAGTTTTATTTTTTGTTGCAGTTTTATAACTAATTGTTTTTGTTACAGCTGTTAATGTTGTTTTTTCTTTTAATACAATTCTTTAGAAGTATGAATTTGTAAAATAACAGAGGGATGTTTTTCTTCCAGAATGACATACAGTTACATATTTACGTTAGTTTTAGCAGAACATACTATACCTTTCTTTTCAAAAAGGAGCTTTATTGTGGCTACCTAAGTAATGATTAATTTATACTATCAATGCACTCATAATTTAATTTATATCCAATTCATATATTTGTTTAAACGCATTAATTCAACATGGCATTTAACAGGTGAACAATATTTTTAAATACACTATAAAATATGATAAACAAGATCAACAAGGAAAGGCGGCATT